GTGCAAAAACATTTTGTCGAAAAACTTAATTTTTTTTAGCAAATTTATTTTCGAAATTCTAATTTGTGCATTTTCATGATCAATGGAAACGCAGCTATTTTTGTTTCTACTTTTCATTTAAAATAAGTTTCCACTCTCAGCAGGTTTTTAAGGCTCTTCTTCTACGTATTTAAAACGTTGTTAAACATCTGAGTGGTGCACTGCCACTACTAGTGGTGAGAACGTGTATTGCACCTTATTGTAAATCAGTGCGCTCCCCCCTCTGCGGCCCAAAGTTAGAAACTGTAGTTCCTTTGAAGCCCACGAGGTGAAGCGGTGACCCAGGGGTCAGGCTTTCCACTCAGTCAGATCATGAAGTGGAACGCTGCCTGACACCTGTCCTGCTGACGTTGCAGGAAAAGAAACGATAAGATCGAGTACCTGGTGGGCTGCATCGCCGAGCTGTCCGAGAGCGAGGAGAACCTGCTGCTCCGCCACGGCGAGAACGACTTCAGCGTCATGTACTCCACACGCAAGAACTGCGCCCAGCTGTGGCTGGGGCCCGCCGCCTTCATCAACCACGGTACGAGTCTTTGCACCCCGCCCGCCACAGACACGCTCAGAGGAGCACAGGTCGTTTCAGACGTCTAACAACGCTCTTTTCTTGTCCTCAGACTGCCGACCGAACTGCAAGGTGAGGCTGCGTGACACGGTGGGGTTCTTTAATTATCAACATCAGCTGAGAGAACCTGAGGAAACACCATGAGTTAATTTATAAAGAGAATAAAAGCTGCTGTGGAACCTGGTCACTGCTCAGGTTTTCTCCTACCTGAGGCAGGTGAGGCCGTCACAGCTTCACATGATGCTCTGGGACCACCTGCTTGAGTCGTCAGTGGGCTCTGTTGGTTCGGCCGCTCCTGTGGAGCTTCACTGCTGATCCYTGTGTTTGTAGAAATCTGTTCAGGTGTTTCTTCATCCCACAGGTGTCGCAGTGAGCAGGTGTTTCTGATTAAACTGAATTTAAACTCCGGGGTTGGTTTGGTTTGAACAGTACTGTAGTGGTTTTGAACTAAAGTTGTTTGTTTTTGCAGTTTGTGTCGACAGGACGGGACACGGCCTGCGTGAAGGTCCTGCGGGACATCGAACCAGGAGAGGAGATCTCCTGTTACTACGGGGACGGGTTCTTTGGGGAAAACAATGAGTTTTGTGAATGCTATACGTGTGAAAGGTTGGTGCACACACCTGAACTGTACGCACTCACGTTGAGTAACTACGTGGATGTGTTGCTGTTAAAACCTGCAGCAGAACTCACTGAACCTGTTTGGGTTTTTCAAAATAAGAGGCAACAACTGATACCAACCATCTGGAGCTTTATAAAAAAATAAAACTGTTCTGCAGCTGGGACAACAGGAAGTTTAACACTTAGTGCTGTCTGGGACTCTTATTGTGTAGGATTGTGAGTTCAGCCACATCCGGGAAATCATATTCCCTCATTAAAAAAGCAAACTCACTCAAACTCAAATTTTTWAACTTTAAACTCAACAAAAAACGAATTTCTGTGCAGGTTTCTGTGCTCAGCTTGTGTTGTTTATTAGGGCTGCACCAATCCATGTATCTGCATGGAAAATTCAGATTTTTATTTTATTTAATTAGCTTGTCTTCGTCTTTTATTTATTCTCAGTTGGTGTCTGTTTGGACTCCTAATTGCACAATTAAAGCAAAAATCTTTATTTTGACATTGTTTTTACCCCAATTCACTTTGACATCTCAGGTCCTGCAGTGGTTTTTATTGTACTTTTTCTGTTTTTAAAACCATTTTAAGCAGTTAAAGAACATTAAAAGTTACAAACGTCAACGTTGAGATAATTTATTAATTCTTAAATATTTCCTGTTCACCACAGAACCAGAAAACAGGAAAGTTTTTCTTAAATCTTTATGCTTAAAGCACCAAAACAGCAGGTTGTTTTGTTTATTTTATTGATATAAACCAACAGAAGGAAACATTTTGGTGGAAAGTTTCTGAACTGAGTTTACTGTCAGGATGTTGGGTAGAAATAAGCTGAGATTGTTAAACTCAAAATTCTGAGAAAATATTTACATTTTTTTAATTCTGGGGGATCCCTGCAGCCAGCGTGGCATTTTGCAGAAATGCATGAATTAAGCATGATGTTGTTTACAAGGTTTGACTAAAAACGATGAATAAAATGTTTGTCGTTTCCTGCAGGCGGGGTACCGGTGCTTTCAAATCTAAAGCTGGCTTGCCGGTGGAGATGCCGGTGATCAACAGTAAGTACGGGCTGCGGGAAACGGACAAGCGTCTCAACAGACTGAAGAAGCTGGGAGAAGGACACCGCAGCTCGGACAGTCACTCTGTGGGCTCCCACACTGATGTAGACTCTCAGGAAATGCCAAAAACACATCAGTGTAAGTCCTACAGCTAAACCTGCTGCTACACCTAATGTTACATGTTTTAACCTCTTAAGCCCCAAACATTGCCCATTTTTATTTCTTTTAACTTCTGTTGACTTCAGACTTGTCAGTTGAACCTGGACATGTTTGGTATCAAAAGAAACCTAAGAGTCTTGGCTAAAAGCTCAAGGAAACTGTTTTTACATTCACCAAACACAGTTCAAACGTCAATCAGTTGAATCAGACAGTACACAATAAACAACAGTAAACAAACTGTACAAAATGGAATAGTTGCAAATTTGTAAATACGTTACAACAAATCTGTAAATATGTTACAACTAATCTGTAAATACGTTACAACAAATCTGTAAATACGTTACAACTAATCTGTAAATACGTTACAGCTAATCTGTAAATACGTTACAACAAATCTGTAAATACGTTACAACAAATCTGTAAATACGTTACAACTAATCTGTAAATACGTTACAGCTAATCTGTAAATACGTTACAGCTAATCTGTAAATACGTTACAACTAATCTGTAAATACGTTACAGCTAATCTGTAAATACGTTACAACTAATCTGTAAATACGTTAC